CACCCACAGTCCTACCGGGAGCTGATAAATAAAGTTATATGTAGTCAAAATAAGCGTGAAAAGAATTGTCTGATAATTAGTATATATTTAATATATCAGGCAAAATTCAACCTAACGATAAGTTGTGTTAGGAAATAAAGTCTTTATAAATCCATTAAATTTGCCAAATACTAAACTTGAGACGAGACTGTTGTATCCTTTGTGTCATCATTGTGTCATCAGTATTTGTAATTGATAAAATTAATGTAATTGATGCATCAAAACTTTAGAGTGAAGGCATCAGGAAGATTTTCTTTTCTCGTAGTATTAAAACTGCTCGGCTTGTAATTAAAGGAGCACAAATGGAGCTCATGGAATTTCTGACAGATTGTACAAAGACCTACATGTAGTCTCCGAAGTCTACATTGACTTTCTCAATGAAGAACACAGTGTCGTTTGTGTATAATCTGAATTATTTAAAACAACCTAGTTATATTGGAAATGAAAATTTGGTTTATTATATATAGAAAATGTCTTTCCTGTTAATGAAATGTCTTAAAACTTGTATATAATGCGCATTTTGTCAAATATTAAGTTATGTTATATATCATTTTCATATCAGAGCTGAGTCATTCAATGTTCCGATCAAGTAAGAGATTTTTTCTATTTTCCATTGCCTTTTGTCATTAGATCATTGTTAAATTTTTGTAAATAAAGATACTGATAAGATTAGGCCATGTTGCTCAGACAATTATATCTAGTATTTAATAATTTCTTTGATTTTTAAAAACATTATTTTTTTTATCGTAGAGAAAAAATCATGCAACCAATATACACCACAAAGAAAGAGGATTAAAGATTACAATGCACATATTCTTGTTTACCATAAATAAGTAACATAATTCCATAGATAAATTATGTTGGTTAATGAAATGCACTTGATAACAGAATCTGATGTCCAAACAAAACAAGATCATAAAGCAAAAACAAGTGCAAGTTTTAGAGTGATACTATGTTATCTTAGCGATGAAGTTAAAATTCTCTATTATTAGCTGCACGCTCAAACTTTTTTGCATCAGGCATTAATGTGAATTCCGTGACAATAAATCTTTCAGATGAGGTAGACTAGGAGGAATTCTCTTGGTAAATTCGAAAAACATTATTGAGGGTTCTTTTGAGCTTAAACTTAAAAAAAATCTGTTTCGCACGAACTTTGTATGTAGCACAGTTTTTATACATGTGTTCCTGACAAACTTTGCACCATAAAGACATTTATTTTTTTTGTTATAGAAAATATCGACAACGTAAATAACAACAGAAGATGAATATTTCTCTTGAGTACAGATGGTGTAGAAAAAGATTAATTGAGCATGTAGGATGGTTTTTGTACAGGAAATTACACGGTATAATCATGATTAAGGACCCCTCACAGTTTAATCTAGAAAAGATGCATATTGTAATATGTGAGATGCATAAATATATCATTCAGAATACCTACTATCATTCGTCTGAAATCAGACGATATAAATCATAAATCAAGTAGTGTAAAGATATCAAAGTATGCAGTTTATTATTGTAATAATGTTAAAAATATCAAATAACGATAAAAGACATAACTGAATTTAAAGACAATATCGTACATGTGCCCATGGATTTCGTACATATATTTACATAAAATATGTTTTAATTGATTATGTATATTTTTATACTCTAGCAACTGAATTTGCAGAAAATATTATACCCATCAATTTCATACATACATTTCCATAAAAAATGTTTTGATTATGCATATTTTTATACTTTAGCAACATCAATTACACATTAACAGTATTTTAGCCTATTTGGGTTTTTTTTAATGATTTTTCATTACATTTATAGTGAAAAAAATGGCCTCGAGAAAAAAGATTTATGTAATACCGGGTATACAGAATAGCATACATGAGTAAGATATTCTAAAATAAATATTCTGTTTGTTGATTTCAAACTATCTTTCTTGCTGAATGAAATTTAATCGATTCTAAGATGTGGTAAATAATAAATAACAGTGTTTTTAGCTGTATATCACTATGACTTTATATAAGGTTGACCATATTAATCTTAATTAACAGCACACTAATTTGCATTAAATGGCATTTCACAATTAGAAGTAATAACTAAATCTGTTCACGGTTGACAAATTCCGGTTTTTACAAAATACTCTGCAATTAGTTCTCTTCTGCTTGAAAAGCTAAATTTGCATAATATAGCTTTATTTTAACAAATTCTTATGTCATATGACGTAAATGAAATGCATTCATGACATGTGTACTGTTAATCTTCTAGTGTGAAGCGAAATTGTAATTCTTTTTAAATAACATTCACAGTTCTACTTATAAGTGATGTAAAAGGTAAAGATAACGAACAGTGATCGATCTCTAGAAATCCATAAACAATGCAAAAATGTGAGGAGGGCATAAAACACGGGCCCCTGGAAATTCTAGAGGTGGAATCGGGTGCCTAGGAGGAGTAAGCATCCCCTGTTGATCGGTCACACCCGCCGTGAGCCCTATGTATTGATCAGGTGGACGAAACTATCGGTAGTCAATTCAGTACAAAAACAAAAGGCTAACAATTTGTATGAAACAAGTCAGCCAAAATACGACCCAATGATAGGTTATATTTGCTAACAAGGTCATTATAACGACCACAAAATTTACGAAATGCTGACTTTAAACAAGGCTGTTGAAATTCTTGTAACATCAACTTATCAGTAAGTAGTCTGCCTCGTTTTACAAATTGATCGTACTCAGAGCAATATCAGAATGATGTAAGATTAAAAAAATATTAAAAATCATAAATGTGTTAAAAATGAACTAATTGCCTAACATGAAAACAGACTAAAAAGAGAACATACAGTTAGTTGGTTTTTATTAACTTTAGACTTTTTCAGTTTTCATTTGTTCTTCTCTCAGTTTTTTCTCAACTCCATTTGTATGGTTGATAGGATTTGAGAGATTTAACATCGTTTGTTTTTCTTCACTTTATTTTAATAATGATAGTAAACTAAGTAAATGGGAAATTAATGAGATCCTACTTATTATAAAATTGGTATGATTGAAAGGGTTAAAACCTCAATAGCAATTGAATGAGTTGTATTTGTGTTCTCTGTATAAATTTCTTTCAATCAATAACTGTTTTCCAGAAATCAGACAGGAAAATGTATATTAGTTAATTTATCTTCCAGACTGGTTTTTGTCTGTTTACTGTTAAACTTTTTTGCCATTTTTAAACTAAAACTATTTTTATAGTTTTGGTTCCTCAATCATATGCAGATTCCCTCTATTAAATCAATCCAAAAATTTCATCTACTCTAAACAAGGAGCTAAGGAGCTGTAGGTCAACGTGTAAAACAAACTAAGAAGATGTTCCATTCACATATGAATTAATTGTGACTGAAAACTAATACAAGGTATAAAAATTACTTCATCCACTTTTTCAAAGTAAGCAAATTTGTCCAAATTGCCTGCACATTTATTTTATTAAATAGTATAAGTCAATTTGGAATGGTAAACAAATTTAACAGAATGTGATGTTACCTTATAGATATTTCTTATGTAAAGAAGGGTTTGCACAGCATACACACATATTTCTCAATTCTTTTGGTTTGGTCAAATGACGTAAATGAAATCAATCACTCGCTCGTGTACAATCCATCCTTGAAGTACTTTTTTAAATTATTCATAGTTTTTATCGTTTACATGAAATTAATCTTTTTCAAATAATTTTGCATCATAATTTACAATAAGTGTCGTATAATGATATATTACTTTTATTTAGAGTAGGGTTTACAAACAATGACATTATTAAGCTTAATAGCGCTATCGAACGACAATTTTTAATGCAAAAACAAATACATGACATTTCAGACGTACTATTACATACCACTATATTCACATTTAAATCCAAAGTAACACAGCACCTGTCAACACCAATGTCACTGTACTGAGTAATATGATAATAATATAATAATCTAGCTGTAAATATGTCAAGTATATAATAATATAAACATGTTTGTACATTTTTCCACTGAGATTCCTTTTGTGTTGATAATGACCAAAACAAGTGACATTACCGAATACTATATTAGACAATTATATCATATAAATTTATATTGTTATAATAGAATGTGTCTACATGAAAACAGTTATTTAATATATGTAATTGATATCCATTTGCATGTATTTTGATTTTTCATAAATGGAGGGAGAGAAAGAGAGAGTGAGGGACAAAATCCTAAACATAAAACCTTGAAAGGACCAGACACAACAAATAAACATCGTAAGTAATATATCTTTTTTCTGAAGTGTTTATAAAACATGTTGCTGATCCTATTAACTTCACATATCACCAATGCCGCTAGCTGAATTCAGTCTGCTAACTCGTCCAGATCTTACCAACCTCATTCAGTTAATTTATTCAGCGTTTGCTCTTAATGTTAAGTACAGCAGATTTTTTTGTTTGGTATTCCCCGTAACTGCGACTATGACTCAAACGAACACTGCAATGTTTTGCGCGCAATGGAAAATTACTTTCCTAAGTCTCGTTCAAATCCGGTCCTCTCTAGAAATAATAAAATTTCTTGCGAGAAAATTATTATTTACTTTAAGTCGCTTTCTGGTCGTATAGTTAGAGGCTGATATTTGATATCAATTAATTTGATATAAGTGTTGTTCGAGTTTTTTTTAAATCGCTCCTCGATGCACAATAATTTGGGGGGGTTTTCAGAATTATTGGTAAGCTGCTTATATTGTTTCTTTCAGATAGCGTGATATAATTCCGATTTGCCACATTTTTTCTAATTAGCTGTTTTTATCTGACCTTAAACATAATGTTTTCAAGGCAGTCTAGCGTCTCATTTTAAATCTCGTTGACCACATTAAAATCACTAAGCCCCGCCTCCCATGAGAAAGGGGAAAACCTATTCTAAGAATAGATCGAGAACTATAAAAGCGAAGAAATGTTTACATGTTGATCAGTTCTTTCTCCATCGTTTCAGCGATGTGACAAGGTGTTGGTTTATGCTGAATGTTATATGGACAAAATTCTGAAGATGTTTATGACGCACACTTCATTAACAGAAAAACAGTCTAAGTGCCTTGAAACTCGTCTAGAGGATGCATCTGAAGTACGAAAATTGGTAAGAAGCGGAGAAATAGGGCCAGCTTCCCACATCAGGGTTCACAGACCACGTGCTCTACATTTTTTGTGTTGGAAATTTGACTATAGTTACGATCACCACTTTTTAGTAACCGATGCAACAGAAAACAAATTGACAATTGTTCACTATGCCCCGAAAAGGATTTCTATGATAATTCTTTTGAAAGGGGTCGCCGAGATCATCCAGGAATCGGTAGAAGTTACGGACAGTGACGAAACATTAGATTTTAGTTCCGGTGTGTATCATATAACCTCTGACTATTACCCCAAGACACAAGAAGAGAAATCTGAAGCAGTAAAACGAGCCAAAAGACGCCTAGGTGAGAGACAATACTCAGTGTTTCACAATAATTGTGACAGTTTTGTGTCGTGGACACTGTTAGGGAAATCGTACTCACACCAGGCAATGAATGCCAAAGGACTCCTCTTTTGCATTGGAATCTGTGCCCGATGTTGTATAAGGATTTATGGGACCTTGGAATTATTTAAAAATGCTATAAAAAGACTTTCTTATGTTTTTGGTGAATAGTCCTATGGATTTCTTCATACTATAAGCATTGCTGTGATACTTTTATTGTTGTAGTCATCTTCATCTATTAAACTTTATGCTCATTTATTCGAAAATTCATTTTATACATATTTTAATAAATATTGAATGTTATTTGCACTGTTGAGACTTTTCCTTTATTCAAAGACCGTTTCCAATCTCTTAAGTATATAAAGAAGTGAAGACAAGGAACAGTCATAAATCTCATAAATCCTGTGTTTTAAAACAAAAATAACTATCAGTATGAATGAAGAAAAATGCCCGAGTCAGAAAAAAAAAATCCTTTTTAGGAAAGTCGCAAAATCCAGTAATGCAATCTAGCAATATATTACACTTAACTCTTCTTTACACTTTCCTTTAAAAGTTTTATCTGATTTTGACTACAATGTAATTGACCAGCAAGGACTGAATCGTATCCTTAAGGAGTATAAATTTTTAACTTTTCAATACATTCATACACTTAAATTTTTCTTCAAACACGACGTAAAGAGGAAGGGTTTATTTTCTAATCATATGTGTGTGAAAGATAGTATACTGTGTGTTTCGTACAGGCCTGTTAAAGGCAAAAGCACAATATAAGACGGCCGACGTTATAATAATAGAATTTCATTAAATCCTCTTCCTTATAATTAAGCTATGATTTTCAAAGGGTGTTTTGCGCATCGTATTAGAAATCTTTAAGTGCAGAAGTTGTGCGTCCCTGACATAACTTTTAATGTTATTTAAGTTTTAGTTGAAGTTGCTAACGTAAGTGCAGCCGTCCTGAGTTTTTCCTAATGTGAATCAATGTATTTCGACTTATCAAATGATGAACATTGTGGAGTCTTATCAAAATAAATAAATCAATTGACTCTTGACACATTTAAACATTCCACTGTTTACTTAAAGATTTAATTTTACGAAACGGGTTGAGAACAGAATCATCATGTTAAAGTTAGTCATTTAATCGAGTTATAGGATGTTTAATCTAATTTACGTTCCTGGTTTTATTTTTAAAAAAGTGTTTAACCCCTAAAAGACTGCAAAAACTACATCATTTTGATTTCGTTTTCATCTGCAAAATAAAATATCAAAATATCTAGAAGGCATGTACATTGAAACTTGTTATCCAAAATATAATACCTGCTATAATTAGTACTTGTGGGTCCTCTATGTTCGATTTGCTATGAATTTCTTTCATGGACAAATAAATATTAATATCTATTCATTGAATTTCTTTCATAAACAAATAAATATTAATATTCATCCATTGCATTTCTTTCATAAAAAATAAATATTAGTATTCATTCATTGAATTTCTTTAAAGAAACAAAACTCTCTGATAGAGAGATGAAGTATCTCGAATTGTAAAAAGGTATTCTTAAAAGACGTCGACATTAAAAGAATAAATCTTCAGTTAAGGCTTTACAAATAGTGACAAGAAAATGACTCATCAGACTTTTCGCCCAGCTTTGCTTGCGTGTGGAGTTATTCCTTCAATGGAAATTTGTCCTTTGGCCGAGATATGAAAATAAAAGGTGTCATTATTGTAAGCTTGGCACAATAACAAGAGAAAAAAAAACAATTTCCGGGATATTTTAAAACAAAAAATACATTTTAACATGTTCCGTTTTTCTGACAAAACATATTGTGTGAAGCCTACAGGCAAAATAATGTTTCACACGTTTATAACTTTTGATATTGGTTTCCTGGTTTGTTTGCTTATTTATGAATTAAATATTTATTTTTCTAAAATCTAATAGAAAACTAATTAAACTTTATAGACAGTTCTTCATTTATTAAATATGTTTTATTTATTCAGACATTTAAGTAAATTGAAAAATGTTAATAATCACTTTATATTGTAGAAAGAATTAGATGATGTCAGAAGACAGTAAAACCGTAGAAAAAAGTTTTTGCGTCTGAATGTTTTCACCTTCGTACCTGGGTAAGCAGCGAAAAAGCAATAATTGTAATCATAATTTACATATATACACTGACATACATGTTTCAAACTGAGCAGAAGATGCTCAGGAAATCATGTAGTCTATGGGCCTCATAATAAGGACCTTAAATCACTTATTATAAGAGGGCCAAAGTTTATGGAACCCCGGTCTTTCAACATAGTTTCAAAAATATTATAATATTTATAAATATTATAAATTCAGTAGAAGATTATGTCAGACGATGGACTAAATATGGAAAAGAAGAACATGACACATTGTCAGAATGGACTAAATGTATTAGATGGATGTTGAAATCGCGCATTAAGCGACTGAGGGGCAATATGAAAATCATCTATCCTTCTGTCTTTGACATCTTGAATTTTTTGTTGTACAGTCCTCCCGAAGTTTCTCTTTCACTGCTGTTAATATTTTAGTGAAGAGTAAAGAAGGAGGCCTGGTAGAATATTTACTAGAACCCACTATGTATCTTTGTTTGTAAGGATTTTTATGGAGTTAAAAAACTTTTAGAAAATTTTCAGTTACAAAATTTTAACAAAATCAGAACATCAAAAGATACGACTTTTCAACACTTTATACAACCATTCCCCTCGATAACTTAAAGTCCAGGCTTTTTGACATAGACAACTGCTTTTTCAATAAAAATGGAACTCGTAAATATGCTCACCTCGTCATTTTTATTTTGTTAAAAAGCAATCTGATTGTACACGCAAGTACTCTGAAGTTGATAGTAAAATGATGCTTGAGTTTCTGATTGACAATATCTATGTAGTTCTTGGAGATCAGGTCTTCATGGTTACAAATTGCGCTCCCTCTTTAGCAGACCTATTCTTGCATTCAGATGAAGCAGAAATTATTCAAAAACTTCAGCAAGAAAAGAAGAAAACAATTGCAGCGGCCTTCAACTCGATATTTAGATATTTTGACGATGTATTCTCAATTATCAATAGTTACTTTCATTCATATGTCGACTCGATATATTTCAAGTGAGCTTGAAATAAAAGATACCACAGAGTCTTACTCATCTGTTTCATTTTTGGATGTTTTACTAGAAAAAGACCTAACAACAAAGCTTTATGATAAACTTGATGACCTCAATTTTTTGATCGTCAACTTCCCTTACTTATGTAGCAATATACCCTTATCACCTGCATTTGGGGTATTTGTCTCCCAAAATTGATTCAATATGGAAGATCATGCTCTTTGTATGGACAATTTTTAAATCGATGCAAGCTATTGACAAACAAAAGATGAAACAACAATATCAGCAGTCTCGTTTTATAGTCCTCATTTCGTAAGGTCTGGGGTCGATACAATGGCCTTGTCAGCAAATATAATTTATCATTGAGTCAAATGCTGACTGACATTTTTCATACTAATTGTTAGGCCATTATTTACACATTGAATTGTCTACGGATTTTTCCGTTTTTTCCCGATCATGAAAAGAAGCACACGTCGGGTGTGACCGGTCGGCAGAGGATGCTCACGCCTTCATGGCACCTGATCTCACCTTTGATGTTTTTGGAGGTCGTGTCTGCTCTGTTCCCGATGTGTATTGTCTGACTGGACGTTGAGCTTGAATACTGTTCGTCATCTCCGTTTTTTTATTGGTATTATCTATCATAAATTCATATCAGTCTGAAATTAAAGAATTTAATGAAGAATAGATTCAGTTTTAAAAGGAGATTTGGAAAAAAATATTTTTGTAGAAAGTTTTAAATTTTTGGTTTTCTCTCCCTGTTGGCATCCTAAATGATAATGAATGATTGATTAAATGTTGTTTTTCGTCCCATTCAAGATTTTTTTCACTCGATACAGAGACGTCACAATAATCCGGTAAAAGACTTTAAATTAATTAAGACCTTTACTGGGCACTCCTGTCCCTTGAGCAGTGAGGGAGCTTTATCTAATTAACACCTACAGTGATTTGGGGCCTCGGTTTTTAAGGTCTCATCCGAAATTCCCGAAACTTTCACTTCAAAGTGCCTTGGCTAAGGAACAATTTCTACCTATATTTTTCGAACTAGGTCTGCCGTGGCTGGAGCTTGAACCGATCATGGAGCAAGCCCTCTACCGACTGACCTACCTTGGCAGTCTTGATTATTTTGAAAATTCCAATATCTTATTGCACACTTAAAGGACACAACAAATCATATTCCAAAATATTATTATGCTTTTGTGTGAAATGTACGAAGAGTTCTGGGAACCAGGGTTTTTTTCTCTTTCTTCAACCCCAGTTAGCGCCAAGAATGAAAATGAAAACTAAAGAAAGTCTTATATCATAGGATCTACATTATAAAGCATATTTAAAAAATCATATGGCTACTGCTTAAAACGTAAGAGAAGTTTGAGGAGGAAGATAGTATGACAGAAGGGTGGGTTGATAGACTATGAAAACAACAGCATACCCGAACTGTCTATAGAAAGTTTAGATATGATAATACGTTGCCCCTTGCGCGTCCCAATCTTTGTGCTCTGAACGAATTCTGGATTTAACATCAGTGTAATAAAAAGACTAGTGTTGACGCCACAGATATTTTTCCTGGATTTTCCCAAATATATGTATCTTTATAATTAAAACTTTATTCTACTGTTATTGCTCCACCCTATCCCCACCTAGTGACCATGATTTGGAGATACATAAATTTACTAAAACAAGAGGGTGATTTCACGTTAAGTTTTTATTTATCTTTTCTAGCTCTCTGAATCTTGAAATATCCTATTTTCACTATTTTCTAACTATCTCTTTTTTTTTAAATTGTGTAGACTTTCAAAGAAAAATTGGATGTTCTTATATTTCTATAGATGCATTATTTTTGCAAAATTTAGTTGAATTTAGTTCAGTTGATATAAAGGGAAAGTTAAATTTAACATTTTATAGAATTACAACTACGCACTTTGTTAAGAATAAATTATGAAGATGACCAAAAGCAATCATTCTCAAACGTCCATATAAACAATAGAAAATGAGAGCAGAAAAATCAAGGACCCCAGAAACTTCAGAGGAGCCATGAGGGACTACGCATTTCCTGTCGACCTGTCTTTTCCGCCATGTGCCTTTTGACTTGACTGGGTAAACAGATAAATCATTAGTTAGCTCAGTATGAAAACAATAGCCTATCAATTTGTATTAAAATCGTCAGTCAACATTCAGCAGGTAGTATTTGCAAA